CTGGTTTTTAAGCATTATTGTAACATGGCTAAATGAAAGAATATCATGATATAATATATTAAAAATAAAGAATATCCACATACATATCATACATTGTATTAAAATAAGCAATTACAAGGAAAATCATTTAATTTACCTAAATGTTAACACTGGCCCTGTTCACAAAGAGAAATTGAGAGATAATTTTATTTTTTCTTCCTTTATTTATTATTTTATATTTTCTATCATATATTTTACTTACTATGTCATATATCTTATATTTGTGTAATAATATATAAATAAATTCAAAAGTATATTTTCCAGTGAAATATTTTTCCAAAAGTTTTAAGGCAAACTGTAAATTTAAAACGTATATCGAGCAGGGGTGTGGGATGAATTGGGAGACTGGGATTGATATATATACACTAATATGTATAAAAGAGATAACTAATAAGAACCTGCTGTAGAGCACAGCGAACCCCATTTCGCTATACAGTAGAAACTAACACAACATTATAAAGCAACTATACCCCAATAAAAAAATAAATAAAAATAAAATGTATACACCCACCATATAGGAAAGACCAGTGCATTTGTTGTTGTTTCTGTTGTTTTTGTGATTTATTAAAGTCATAAATCTTAAAGATTTGACTACTGTTTCCAAATTTTTAAAAATGTTTCATTTTAATTACCCCCCAAAAGTAAAGAACACTTCTTACTAATTTTATTTATTTTTTATTGGGGTATAGTTGTTTTACAATGCTGTGTTAGTTTCTACTGTATACTTAGGTGAAGTAGAGTTCCCTGTGCTATATAGCAGGTTCTGATTAGTTATCTGTTTTATTATTTATATTAGCGTATATATGTCAAGCCCAATCTCCAGGTTCATCCCACCCCTCCCTTCCCCCTCTTGGTGTCCGTATGTTTGTTCTCTACATCTGGGTCTCTATTTCTACCTTGCAAACCAGTTCATCTGTACCATTTTTCTAGATTCCACATATATGTGTTAATATACGATATTTGTTTTTCTCTTTCTGACTTACTTCATTCTGTATGACAGTCTCTAGGTCCATCCATGTCTCTACAAATGACCCAATTTCGTTCTTTTTTATGGCTGAGTAATATTCCATTATATATATGTACCACATCTTCTTTATCCATTCGTCTGTCGATGGGCAATTAGGTTGCTTCCATGTCCTGGCTATTGTAAACAGTGCTGCAATGAACACTGGGGTGCATGTGTCTTTTTGAATTATGGTTTTCTCTGGGTATACGCCCAGGAGTGGTATTGCTGGGTCATACGGTAATTCTATTTTTAGTTTTTTGAGGAACCTCCATACTGTTCTCCATAGTGGCTGTATCAATTTACATTCCCACCAACAGTGCAAGAGGGTTCCCTTTTCTCCACACCCTCTCCAGTATTTGTTGTTTGTAGATTTTTTGATGATGGCCATTCTGACTGGTGTGAGGTGATACTTCATTGTAGTTTTGATTTGCATTTCTCTAATTAGTGATGTTGAGCAGCTCTTCATGCGCCTCTTGGCCATCTGTGTCTTCTTTGGAGAAATGTCTATTTAGGTCTTCTGCCCATTTTTTGATTGGGTTGTTTTTTTAATACTGAGCTGCATGAGCTGTTTATATATTTTGGAGATGAATTCTTTGTCCGTTGTTTCGTTTGCAAATATTTTCTCCCATTCTGAAGGTTGTCTTTTTGCCTTGTTTATGTTTTCCTTTGCTATGCAAAAGCTTTTAAGTTTCATTAGGTCCCATTTATTTTTGTTTTTATTTCCATTACTCTAGTTACAAATTTTAAATCTATTAAAACTATTGCTATTTTGGAAAGAAGATGAACTCCTTGGATGTTTCATATGGGAAGTGGAAGAACATCAAGAGATCATTAACCTGTTTGAGTGTGGGTTTATACTTAGCAGAAGAATTATACAGTCAAAATACCCTAGGAATTCCTCTGGAGTACAACATTTTTGGGTAGGCATAAAATGACTACGTCAAAAACTTTAGAGAACGTGAAAACTGTCTTATTCACAAGCAATCCCAGGACCCAGGCATTGTGAGTCACATAGTAGGGCTTTTATGTTATGCTGATAACTATTTATAATTTTCACTAATAGTAGTTTTGGAATAATAAAGTGAAAGCAAATAATGTAATAATATAACTAATAGACTTTAGAAATATAGTGAAAATTCATAAATAGAATGTTTGGTGGTAGAAATGTTTGGAACTAGAGTCTTGACTTTAAATTATAAAACATATACAACAGATCATAGAGAGTTTTAATACAGATTTCTAAAGAAAGTATTATTTTAAATATTGTTAAGTTATGAGTGCTTATTATATCTTGATTTAGGATTGAGATGTGATATACTTAATATACTGGGGGCAAGGATTTACATTAAATAAAAAGGAGGTTAATCATTTTATTTAAAGAAAATATTCCAAATTCCATAAAAGTAGAAACCTTAAATGAAATATATTATTTAATTTTTGTCCCCTATAGTATATAAAATATATGTTGCATTCTGTACTAAACATGACTGAAGTATTTCTTATTAGTACAAGAAATTTATTAGCCTTAATATTCTTACTGAAAATAATAAAAATTTTTCAAGGTGCTCCATAAAATTAAATAGTTCAATCTTTGAAAGTTTAACTATTGAAGATTGAGGTTGCTATGTTAACTACAATTATTCTTATAAGATAATTGGTTTAAAAACTATTACTCTTAAGCAAAACAAAATTTGATAACTGAGGAATCAATTAAATGTGCAATTAAGTGTGCTCTAGAGGCCAATTAGTCCTGACCCTCCAAACTCTAGATCCATATTTGAATAATACTAGTTGTTTAAAACTATCTAAAAGGATGGTTTTCTTCAACTAAAGTATGTGTTTATTGCACCCTCCATTGGAACAAAATCTGAAGAACCTGTAAGCAAGTTCCTTTGGCTTCCAGTCAACAACTAACAGCAATATATACATACATTACTTCATAATGAATGCACATCAGCAAAGAAGTACAACTTATTTACTTTTCCTTTAAAATATACGGTTGCCATTTGGATTCTGCATCTCAATGGCTCTGTCTCTGATGCTGTGTCTCATGGGCATCATTTAAAGCGACAAGCCTAAAAATTATGGCTCTCCTTCTGTCTATCCCCATAACTGCTAAAGAATCGCACATCTGTTCCCCAGTTTTGCTTGATTAATAAAGATGTGCAAAATAGGAATTATCTTCTCACCCTCACTTGGGAAAGAAAAACAGGGGGCTCAGGAATACTAAACAAATTATGTATGAAGCAAAATCTTCCCCATCAGCTCAGTGCCAGGAGGGATTAGACCATTGTTTACATATGGATAGCCTCTAATTTTAGTGGTACATCAATTTGCTAGACTTGAAAGGATCTTTTCTCCTTAATTTTGGAGTTGAAAAGAGATACTATTTTGGTAAAATCACAAGGATATAAATGGGTTCTAGATCTGTGTCTGCCAACAATCTGCAGTAAGGCAATTACATTGTCATACTATTTGGATTTAAATAATAATTGTTTGTCACACAAAAATCATTCATATTTTTTTTCTCTTCTACAGCTTCTGCCTTAATGATACTGAGTTTACTCAAATAGCATTGAGTATGGTTTGAGGAAAGAAAAAATGAAAACACAGATGGAGAATATATTTATATTAATTCAAGTAGTACTGATTGAATACCTTCTATGTCAGAATTAAACAGAGGAAAAGACATTGGAAATATTATTTTGATTAGCTACATAAAATTAGTTTTCATGGATGTCTCAGAACTTATTTTAATAATGCCATATTTTTGAAATTCCAACTTTTTATCTCTATATGAAACACAGCAAAGTACATCCTAAAACAAACACTTCTTTGCTCATTTCCCAAGGATATATTCCTAGAAGTGAAATTTGGGCTAAGTAGTATGCAAATTTTTAAGACACTGGCACTTCTGTGCACTGCTGGTAGGAAAGCAATTTGATTCAATTTTCAATGAGGAACATTTGACAATATGTATACAATTTCTTCCACCTTTAACAATAATCTATCTTTCTGTATATATGTCACATTTTGCAATTTAAACGAAGTGTTGAGATCTAGGTCATCTCACATTTGGGGGAAAAAAGTTTTTTTGTAATTTATGCCAAAGCAGTGAAAACTCCATGAGTAAGTGGTTAATAAAACAGACTCTTCGTCTTCCATGATTATTCAGTGCAAGTTTTATTACAGTTACACCAACTGAACCAGTAGTCTAAAATTAGTACAGGCTCTGTCAACACTTGGTTGAGACTGGGGTTCTGTCTACTTTAAGTGCAAACAAACAGACATCTGAAGCACCTGCTTTTCAAAAGAGTGACCACCAGATATAATAGATAGAACACAGGATCTAATGTTACCATAGTGAGGATGGTATTTTATTGTTCCTCCAATTTAGTGATTTTGTTCTGTTTGTTAACTAGTAAAATCATGTTTGTAAATAACTTCATTTCCACTTTATACAGCCAAAATTTACTATATCCCATTTCAAATTCCTACTATATAATTAATAAAGTGGGAAGAGCAGTGACTGTTCTTAGGACTTTTCCTAAAAACAGTATCTCCAGGTTACTGAAAAACACAATAAAATCTTGATGGAGTAAATTATCATTGGTACACACAGCACATATGTTAAAGCTTTCAACTTAGCACATTATCAAACACAAAACTAAATATCATAGATTTGTGTAAATTAGACTTCAGTTACAATGAAAAAAAGGCATAAAAATGAGAGGAATCTGACTCCCCTTTCTTAAAACCGAGAAATATATTTTTTTATAGTGCCAAAAATAGGGTTGTTGTTACCTATTATGTGAAACTTTTTAGAGAATTAGTTGGAGAAAAAAAAATTTTCAAAAAAAATTTTTTTGTTTTCCAGTTGAGCAAAATCACATGCAATGCTACTAGACTGCCAACACATGACGTTCTAACTTCCAAGCCCAAAACACAAGCCTTTAAAATCCTACCTATCGGCCCCGTGCCGCCGTCGCTGCCGCCGCGCTCGCTGGCTGGCCCGGTGCGGGCGCCGGGCTCCTGCCACAGGAGAGAACCACCAGCGCCACCACCACCACTTCGGCCCGGGCCCGGGCACCGGCCCCGCCCCGGGCCCCGGCCTGAGCCCCCCACCCGGCCGGGCGATGGAGTGTCACTACGAGGCGCTGGGGGTGCGGCGCGACGCCAGCGAGGAGGAGCTCAAGAAGGCCTATCGGAAGCTGGCCCTGAAATGGCACCCGGATAAAAATCTGGATAATGCCGCAGAAGCAGCTGAACAATTTAAACTAATCCAAGCAGCGTATGATGTGCTAAGCGACCCTCAGGAAAGAGCATGGTATGATAATCATAGAGAGGCTCTGCTTAAAGGTGGGCTTGCTGGAGAGTATCAAGATGACAGCTTAGATTTGCTTCACTATTTCACTGTGACCTGTTACTCTGGTTATGGAGATGATGAAAAGGGCTTTTATACAGTGTATCGTAATGTTTTTGAAATGATTGCCAAGGAAGAACTAGAATCTTCTTTAGAAGAGGATGTTGAGGATTTCCCAACTTTTGGAGACTCCCAGAGTGACTATGATACGGTAGTCCATCCTTTCTACGCTTATTGGCAGAGTTTCTGCACTCAGAAGAACTTTGCTTGGAAAGAAGAATATGATACACGACAGGCTTCAAACCACTGGGAGAAACGAGCCACGGAAAAAGAGAACAAAAAGATTCGAGACAAAGCAAGGAAAGAGAAGAATGAGCTTGTCCGTCAGCTCGTAGCTTTCATTCGTAAAAGAGATAGAAGAGTGCAGGCTCATCGAAAACTTGTGGAAGAACAGAACGCAGAGAAGGCGAGGAAAGCCGAAGCAATGAGGCGGCAGCAGAAGCTAAAGCAGGCCAAACTGGCAGAGCAGTACAAAGAGCAGAGCTGGATGACGGTGGCCGATTTGGAGAAGGAGCTCAGGGAGATGGAGGCGCAGTATGAAAAGGAGTTTGGAGATGGATCAGGTGAAGATGAAGCGGAAGAACGGGAACTCCAAGACGGACAGGATGGTAAAGATGGTGACGAGGCTGAGGATGCAGAACTTTATGATAGCCTTTACTGCCCAGCATGTGACAAATCTTTCAAGACGGAAAAGGCCATGAGGAATCATGAAAAATCAAAGAAGCATCGGGAAATGGTTGCCTTGTTAAAACAACAGTTGGAGGAGGAGGAAGCAAATTTTTCAGGACCTCAAACTGATGAAAACAGTCTGGATGCCAATTCTGAGGAAGAAATGGAGGATGCACCAAAACAAAAACTTTCTAAAAAACAGAAGAAAAAGAAACAGAAACCAGCACAGAATTATGATGATAATTTCAATGAAAATGTAACTGGAGAAGCAGTAAAGGTTGATCCAGAAGATAACAGCCTAAATCAAGGCAGTGCCAAAGGATTGGAAGATAGTCCCCAGGAAAATGTCAGTGTTACAGAGACTGTGGAACGGTGTGATGACCCCAAAAGTGAAGCTAAAAGTGTTTCTAAACCCAAAGGAAAGAAAGCCAAAGATACTAAAAAATCTGTCAGAGTACCTGCTGAACTACAGACAGTGAATGATGTTCTTATCAGCTGTACAACCTGCCATAGTGAATTTCCATCCCGGAATAAACTTTTTGACCATCTAAAGGCCACAGGTCATGCAAGAGCACCTTCATCATCATCTTTAAACAGTGTAACAGATAGTCGAAGCAAAAAAGAGAAACGTAAAAACAGATAGAAATCCTGCCAATGCTTTTTCTTTTTGATTGTCTCTAGATTTTGACACCAAAAACTGAACTGAAATCATCTAAAGAGTTAAAATTTCAGTCATCTGCAATTTATTGCATTGTGGGAGATTATTTTTATCTTGTAGAAACGTTTTTTTGTTTAATATATATTTTTTAAACATTTCATTGGTGATTGAATTCTACTTTTGCCATCTGAATTGACTTGAATGTCTCAGAACAGGTAAATATTGTAAAGTATGCATTCTTGACTTCTCTTGGCTCATGTGGACAGAAATGTACAGAGAGAATTAAATTATTTTAACACGTAAAAAAAAAAAAAAAAATCCTACCTATCTAGGAATCTTCTGTCTTTGAGCAACGGAAATCTAAATTCATCTAAATTCACTTGTACAAGCCAGCCAATATTCATGTAACCTCATTTAGGACTGGATGACATATTTGTTAAACTGGAGACTGAGATTTGGTTCATGTGAAAATCAACTGAGTTTGTGAGATACAATTTTTACTAAAGTACAAATGGATACAAGTCTAAATTCTAAGCTTAAAACTCAGAACAGCAAATTGATTAAGTCTAGGTGGAACCTCATTATAAAGATTCAGCCTCTTAAATATGCTCTGTGTTTTGCTCTTTAGGAAGATTCTGGTGATAAATGATAAAATTATACACACACACACACACACACACATATTTAGTTTATACCAGGTTCAGTATTTTAAAATTAGCCAATGTAATTCACAGTAACATAATAAAACAGAAATATTTTATTTTAAAATCACTTGCTATCAAGAACAAGACAATTATGTCCCCTCTTACTATTCCTTTTCAATATCACATGAGAGTTTCAACTAATGTAATAGGATAAGAAGAGATATAAAGTATATAGATTGAGAAGAAACAAAACTATCTTTTCAGATGATATGATTAACTATAGACATAATAAAAAAAAATCAACAAAAAATACTCCTGAACTAATAAGTAATTATAGCAAGATTGCAGGATACAAGGTAAAAGTCAGTAAGTTTTCTATATACCAGCAAAGAACAAGTTAAGTGGAAATTAAAAACACAATACCTGAGCTATTTGTAATGAGGTGGATGGACCTAGAGTCTGTCATACAGAGTGAAGTAAGTCAGAAAGAGAAAGACAAATACCATATGCTAACACATATATATGGAACTTAAGAAAAAAAAATGTCATGAAGAACCTAGGGGTAAGACGGGAATAAAGACACAGACCTACTAGAGAACGGACTTGAGGATATGGGGAGGGGGAAGGGTAAGCTGTGACAAAGCGAGAGAGTAGCATGGACATATATACACTACCAAACGTAAGGTAGATAGCTAGTGGGAAGCAGCCGCATAGCACAGGGAGATCAGCTCGGTGGTTTGTGACCACCTAGAGGGGTGGGATAGGGAGGGTGGGAGGGAGGGAGACACAAGAGGGAAGAGATACGGGAACATATGTATATGTATAACTGATTCACTTTGTTATAAAGCAGAAACTAACACACCATTGTAAACCAATTATACTCCAATAAAGATGTAAATAAATAAATAAATAAATAAAAATAAAAACACAATACCATTTACCTTAGCACCCCAAAAATAAAATACTTAGATATAATGAACTATAAAAAAGATCTACATGAGGAAAACTATAAAACTCTGATATCACAAAACTTTGATAAAAGATATCAAAGAAAAACTAAAACTAAATGGAGAGATACGGATTGGAAGACTCAATATTGCCAGGATGTCATTTCTTCCGAGTTTGATCTTTAGGGTAAAAAAAATCCCAATCAACAGCCCAGCAAGTTACTGTTTATATGGAGAGGCAAAAAAGACTCAGAATTGCCAACACATATTACAGAAGAAAAACAGAGTAAAGGTTTGACAAAATGTGACTTCAAGAATTTTTAATAAGATTACATTAATCGGGCTTCCCTGGTGGTGCAGTGGTTGAGAGTCCGCCTGCCGATGCAGGGGACACGGGTTCGTGCCCCGGTCCGGGAGGATCCCACATGCCGCGGAGCGGCTGGGCCGTGAGCCATGGCCGCTGAGCCTGCGCGTCCGGAGCCTGTGCTCCGCAACGGGAGAGGCCACAACAGTGAGAGGCCCGCGTACCGCAAAAAAAAAAAAAAAAAAAAAAAAGATTACACTAATCAAGACAGTATGGTATTTGTGAAAGAATAGACAGATCAATGGAACAGAAGAGAGGGCCAAGAAAGAGACCCAAATAAATACAGTCAACAGATCTTTGATAAAGAAGCACAGACAATACACTGATTTAAAGACAGTGTTTTCAACAAGTGGAACTAGAACAAATGGATATCCACATGCAAAATAATGTATCTAGACGCAGACCTTACTCCTTTCATAAAAATTAATGCAAATGGATAACAGACTTAAACGTAAAATGTAAACCCCTAGAAGATAACATAGGAGAAAATCTTGGTAACCTTGGCATGGCAATGACTTTTTAGATCCAACACTAAAGGCATGATCCATGAAATAAATAATTGATAAGTAGACTTCATTAAAAACTTTTGCTCTACAAAAGACACTGTCAAGAGAATGAGAAGACAAGCCACAGATGGGGAGAAAATATTTGCAAAAGACATATCTGATTAAGGAATGCTATCCAAAGTATACAAAGAACTCCTGAAACTCAACAATAGGGAAAAAGAAAACCTGATTAAAAAATGGGCGAAAGACCTGAAAAGACACTTCAGCAAAGAAAATTTGGAGATGGCGAATAAGCATATGAAAAAATGTTCCACATCATGTATCATTAGGGAAATGCAAATTAAACAATGAGATACCACTACATGGCTATTAGAATGCACAAAATCTGAAACACTGATGACACCAAATCCTGGTGACAATTCGGAGCAATAGGAACTCTCATATATCGGTGGTGGGAATGCAAAGTGGTACAGCCACTTTGGAAAACAATTTGGCAGTTTCTTGCAAAACTACGCACACTTATACCATCAGATCCAACAGTCACACTCCTTGGTATTTACCCAAATGAGTTGAAAACTTATGTCCATATATAAACAAGATGTTTTTAACAGCTTCATTAATAATTGCTAAAACATACAACACTGTAAATCAACTATACTTCAATACAATAAGTTTTTTTAAAAGAAATAATTGCCAAAACTTGGAAGCGATTAAAAATGGTCTTCATTAGGTGAATGGCTAAATAAACTGTGGGATATTCAAACAATGGAATATTATTCAGCACTAAAAAGATAAGAGCTATAATCAAGACTTGAAAAAAACATGGAGAAAATGTAAATGCATATTACTAAGTAAAAGAAGCCAATGTGAAAAGGCTACTTACCATATGATCCTAACTATATGACATTCATTCTGGAAAAGGCAAAACTATGCAGACATTAAAGAGTTCAGTGGTTGTTAGTGGGGAGGGACCTGTTTACAATAAGTGGTGCAGGATTTTTAGGGTACTTAAAAAACTCTGTATGATACTAAAAAGTTTTATACTTTTCATTATACATTTTTCAAAACCACAGAAGGTACAACGTTAGAGTGAACCCCGATGCAAACTATGCACTTTGGATGAGAATGACGTGTCAATGTAGCTTCATCAATAATAACAAATTTACCACTCTGCAATGTTGATAGCAAGGGAGGCTTTGCCAGTGGGGTTTTGGGATTACTTGAGAACTCTGTACGTTCTGCTGAATTTTGCTGCAAACGTAATATTGCTTCTGAAAATAAAGTCTATTTAGGGAATGAGAGGAAGTAAGATAAAAAATAAATAACACAACAAGGGAAAATGAAATTAAATAAAATCATTTTCTAAGCCAATTCTATGCACAGTGCATTAAAAAAAACTCATCGCAAAGTAGAACTAGGAAGAACCATCTATAATCTAATTCTGTAGAAACTCAGCTAATACATTTTACTTAAAAAATGTCCTATTTTTAAAAAGTGATAAAATTTTCAAAAATTATACAAAGACTATCCATATACAAAGGGTTCTGAAACTTTCTAGTTTCACACCATCCCTAGAGGTTCAGAATTTTTTCACCTCACTCCAGGCCAAAACAAATACTTAACAGTTTCCTTTAAAAACTACTAAAAAGTCCAAACTATATAATAAGCATTTATATTCTAAAAACTTAACAGTCATTTGAAAAAAGTAATAAAAATAAACTGTAAAAGAAAATCTTTACTTCACTTTTAAAAACCACAATTATTGGTTTTTTTCTTCATATAACACTTTTTTCCAACATCTTTATTGGAGTATAATTGTTTACAATGGTGTGTTAGTTGCTGCTGTATAACGAAGTGAATCAGCTATATGTATACATATATCCTCATATCTCCTCTCTCTTGCATCTCCCTCCCACCCTCCATATCCCGCCCTGCTAGGTGGTCACAAAGCACGAAGCTGATCTCCTGGTGCTATGCAGCTGCTTCCCACTACCTACTGATTTTACATTTGGTAGTGTATATATGTCCATGCCACTCTCCCACTTCGTCCCACCTTACACCTCCCCTTCCCCACGTCCTCAAGTCCATTCTCTATATCTGCGTCTTTATTCCTGTCCTACCCCTAGGTTCTTCAGAACCTTTATTTTTTTTATAGATTCCATATATATGTGTTAGCATACGGTATTTGTTTTCCCCTTTCTGACTTACTTCACTCTGTATGACAGAGTCTAGGTGCATCCACCTCACTACAAATACCTCAATTTCATTTCTTTTCATGGCTGAGTAATATTCCATTGTATATATGTGCCACATCTTCTTTATCCATTCATCTGCCGATGGACACTTAGGTTGCTTCCATGTCCGGGCTATTGTAAATAGAGCTCCAATGAACATTTTGGTACATGACTCTTTTTGAATTATGGTTTTCTCAGGGTATATGCCCAGTAGTGGGATTGCTGGGTCATATGGTACTTCTATTTTTAGTTTTTTAAGGAACCTCCATACTGTTCTCCATAGTGGCTGTATCAAGTTACATTCCCACCAACAGTGCAAGATGATTCCCTTTTCTCCACACCCTCTCCAGCATTTATTGTTGGTAAATATTTTGATCATGGTCATTCTGATGATGGCCAGTGTGAGCTGATACCACATTGTAGTTCTGATTTGCATTTCTCTAATGAT